ATTTAAGTCTGGTATGGTGACCCACACTTGTTATCTCAGCACTCCTAGAAGACAAGAGAAGAGGACCCTTGAATTTGAGGCCAGCATGAGTGTACATGACTCAATATCAAAACAAAATAAAAGAAGGAAAGACATCATGCCACCCACAGTACTGTGCACATTCAAGTAACCTCAATGCTTGAGAGTGTTCTTGACAAGGAGTACACAATAAGTGCACTGCTGGGCTGAAAATTGCTATTAAAAGGTAAAAGGCTTCCCTCAAATCTAAAACACCCTTGAAGCAAAACAAAATAGGAGGGCTTAGTGGCAAATGGAAAGATTATTGTAAAGTCAGGGTTATTAATCATAAAGAGAAACGTATATAAAAGTAAACCAAGAGAAAGGTTAGAATAGTTCATCCCCCATGAACATGGCAGAGAAGAGCAGAGAATGGGATGGTCTCCTCAACAAAACTTGGTAGTAAAGGTTGTGGCTCTGAATTGTGGCTGTCGCTGTGAATTCTGTGCCAGTCTTTCCCATGGCCAGTTTCCCCTGTTGATTAGAGGGCTGAGTTCAAGAAGGTAACACCACTCACAACTTTGTAACAAATCACTCAACATCAAGAAACAGAGCGAAGACTCACTGCCCAGGTACTCCACAGCATAAGCAAAAGGACAGCATGCCAAGGAGACTTTGGATTTAGACAGTGTTTGAAACTCCTTTATGTTTGGTTAAGAACTCTGTGCTGCATTGTACTTCTCTTTCTTTCTACACCTTTCACTTTCCATCGAATTTTTACCACATCATGAATATGCTGCTATATATTTTTAGAATGGAGTGGTGTCCTAGCTATTTTTCTATTGCTGGGATGAAACACAGTGAGCAAGGTAACATAAATCGTCTAATTTGGCCTGTGGTTTCAAAGGGTCTGAGCCCTTGGTGGCAGAATGGAAGAATAGCTGGGAACTCCCACCTTGATCCATATGCAGGAGAGAGGGAGTGGAGGACTAGCAATGGCTCCAGTCTTTTGAAACCTCAAAGCCCAACCCCAGTAAAACACCTCCTCCAACAAAGCTACACCTCCATATCTTTCCAAAAGGGTTCTACAAATCAGGGACCAAGAATTCAAATTTATGAGTCTATGGGGGCAATCTCATTCAAATCACAAGTGGTTTGTAATGTTCATAATAGACACACAGTACATTGCAATGAAGCAAAGATTAATAATTATAAGTGAAACAATTTCCTAAATTCAAAAGGCAAACCTATAATGTTTCTATAATACAAAAATGGATGCTGTTTTTGGTCAATGATTTCTTTTTTGTGTCATTTTAAATCATATATACCAGTCCTGAGAAGCATATATATTGCCAAAAAGGAAAAACAAAAATAAGCTCAGTGGTAAATTAATAGCAAAAAGTAAACATCAAAATACCAATGATAAATGTCAGATCTTAAAATCCATTAGAAAGAAATGACACAGCCCCTTACAATCAAATAACTGAAGAGAAGAGATATATATAACAACAGCAGCATTAAAAGCCACAGTGGAAGGAATAGAATAAATATTTGTAAACTCTTTAGAAGGCAGCTTGACATTTTGCAAAACAATAGCAGATTCCTTTCTGGGACATATGACTTCTTCATTCATAGGCTTTAGACAAGGCATACAGTACCAGACATGGCTTTCCCCTTGTGGAGTAGCTCTCAATACGATCAGAAAGTGGTTAGATCCTACCACAACAGTAATGCCACATGGCACAAGTGGACATACCATGATCATCAGTTCACTATTATGATATGAATGTCCAACACTGAATGACTTTAATGATGCATTTTCTACCCTAGAAACTTCACAGCATCTTCTGTCACTGTGAAAACTATCCATCAGAAGGACTATCCCATCAAGTTTGAGACTGATTTCTCTATGTCCTGCAACCCAAGTGTGTGGTATCTGTATCACTGAGAACTTACCGTCTAGCAAACCAGGAACAATGGTAATACTCTGCATTGTTTGGTCATTTCTAGGACATCCCTAACCAAACACTTATACAGAGGTATTCAATGTCTAATACTGAGATTTTCATTTAATATCCTATACTTTGGGGAGCAGCACTGTAATCTATGCAGGCCACCTCTGCCCAAACTCCATTTTTATTATATTTTGTAATTAGCATGTAAACTCAATGAGTTCCCATTAAGTCTTTTTCTGATGATTTTATCAGTGTGGTAGTTTAAACAAGAATGGTACCCATGGGCTCACATGTTGGTCCCCACTAGGTGGAACTATTCGTAAAGGATTGGGTGTATGGTTTTGTTGGAGGAGGTGTGTCACTGGGGACAGCATTCAAATTTCAAAAGACTCAGGTTTTCAGTGTCCCTGCTTATGGACCTAGATATGAGCTCTCCAGCACCATGTCTGCCTGCTGCCTGATAATGATGGGTTCCTAGCCCATTGGAACTGCAAACTCCAAATAAACCCTTCCTTCTCTGAATTGCCTTGGGCATGCTATTTTATCACAGCATTATAAAATCAACCAATACACTTAGTTTGGTTAACCAATACCCTATTCCCTCCTCTCTTCCATTCCCCCTGTCCTTCATCTCTATTTAAACCTTAGCCCCCAATGTTCCTCCACTCTTTTCTTATCACACGTGTTCTATTATCTACTCCAATTATATTTTAATTAGGTTGCAAGACAGTACCTCTCCAGAAGGGCATTTTCACACACTCTTCATTTTGATTAAGCCCTCCCGGAGCCCCTTGTTTCTGTCTTTCTGCCCCCCAGTATTTCCCTAATTTAATTTTACCTGTATTCTTCTATTATCCTTTCTTAATGTACCCAACAGTGATCCTTTTCTAGCTTCCTGGATTCCTAGTACACTCCAGGTTAAACCACAAAACTAAAAATCTGAAGCTCTGACCATCATATGCAAGAGAACATGTAGAGCTGTATTTCTGGATCTGGGTGACCTCACTCAGTATAATATTTTCCAGGTATTTCTCCTACCATCAAAAAACAATTCCATTGTGAAAATGCAGCATATTTTCCTCATCTAGTGAAAGGTTGATAGACCATCTAAGTTTATTTCATTTCTCAGTAATTATAATTATATCATCAGCAAACATTGATGTACTAGTATCTTTGTAGTAGGCTAAGAAGTCCTTAGGGTGCATGCCAATGAGTGGTAATGCTGGGTCATATGGTAGCATCAGCTTTATATTTTTCAGAAATCTCCAGGCAGATTTTCAAAGTGGCTTCATTATTACACACTCCAACCAACAGTGTATGAGTGTTCCCTCTCCTCTCTACATACACACAAAATTAAGTTAATGCTAATGGATACATAAAAATGTAAAAATTGAGATGTTAAATGTACCAGGTGGTGCTTTGATTCATGCATATATTGTGTAATGTTTAAATTAGTTTAAATATAGTGTGCCCTGCTTAAATCAGGTTAAGTACATCTCTTCAAACATTTCTAAGTTTATCACTTCTTGTGATGAAAACTTTCAAAGCCTTTTCTTGCAACTTTTTGAAATCTGTAGTGATTTATTAATTGTAATCTCCCAACTATACAATAACATACAAGAATTGCTTCCTTATGTCTAACAATAACTACTAGGGTCTAAGAATTTCTGAAGAAAGATACCAAACTCAAATAACATGCTAACACAAAGAGCATTTATTCTGCAGAAATAACCAGCAAGCAGGGGTCGATTCCAACCCCTTCAAACTTAGTACCATCAACCATGACCCATCATCCTTGCCCTGAAACTATTTCCAGTGACTGAGAACCAAAACCAGACCCTTACTTTCTATGATATCAACTTTTTATTAAAAATATTCTTTTCTCCTCAAGTACATCCTGACTACAGTTTCCCCTCACTCCATTTTTCCCATGCTCCTCTCCTCTCCTGCTCCATCTCCCAACAGAAAGAGTAGGCCTGCAAGAGACAACACCCAAACAAGACAAAACAAAATATAATAAATAAGACAAGGCAAAAGCCCTCACACCAAAGCTGGGCAGAGCAACCCAACAGGAAAAAAGAAGTGCCAAAAGCAGAAAAAATACTCAGATTCACACCTTCTCCCACTGTTATGACCCTCACAAAACAAGCAAATAGCCAACACATATGAATAAGACCTTGTGGGGACCAATGCAGATCTCATTATTGCCGCTTCAGTCTCTGTGAGCCCCTAGGAGCCCTGCTTAGTTGATTCAGTGGGCCTTATTCTAATGGTGTCCTCTATCCTCTGACTCCTACAATCTTTTTGCACTCTCTTCCATAGGGTTCACAGAGCTCCCAGGGGAGGAGCCTGCTGGAGACTTCCAATTTAGACTCTTTCTCCACATCAAGTCTGGATGTGGGCCTCAGCATTTTGAAGCCTCTCCTGATGACAACTGGACAAGGCACCCATCTATGAATATAGCAGAATATCATTAGAAATCATCTCACTGATTTTTTAGATCAGTCATACTTGGTTCTACCATAGTTCTTGGACTATCTAGTCTCTGGTTCCTGGCCATCCAAGAAAGTGTCCACCATAGAGTCCCCATCATAGAATGGGCTTCATGTTAAACCAAACATTGGTTGGCTACTCCTACAAATTCTGTGCCACCATCGCCCCAGCACATCTTGCAAGCAGGACAGACTGCTGATCAAAAGTTCTGTTGCTGGGTTAGTGTTCATTTTACTCCTTTGGTAGCCTGCAGAATACTTTCCAGAACCAAAGAGTAGAACATAGGGGTGAAGTCTCCGTGTAGGCACTGCTCACCCTCACCATATTCAATGAATTGAGAGGATGTTGTCCTTGGCAATGGACCTCACTGTCAGTTTGTGGAGAGACAGGCTTTGTCCTAGCTTCACAGGATCTCCCAACAATTCAAGTGAATGTAGCCCAGGTCCTCCACTAGAAGCCTTGCCTGGCTATAAGACGGCCAGTTAAGACTCCATATCTCCCATTACTAGGTCCTCCCTAGACTCCCTCTCATAGATTACAGGAAGTTTCCACTGCAAAAATATGGAACATTTCACAATTTTGCATGTCGTTCTTGTGCAGGAACCATACTAATATTTCTGTATCATTTCAACTTGCTATATTGCTGCCAAAGTGAGCAAAACTTTCAGATTTTCATGTAAGATCATGTGGTATTCCTGTTTGTCTGTTTTGACAGTTTTCATTAACACAATGATACTTAGTTCTATCCAAAGCATATGGATCCTTCACATAAAGAAGCAGATGGGGACATGCTCCTCCCTGCATGAATGACTGGGAAATAGCAAGGTACCTTCTGCAACTTTCTTAACTTCTGTGAATTGAGAATCCTTATCTTTTTAAGATTAGTTAATGAAATCCATATGACAGTGATTCTGCCAAGTGAGTAAGAACGAGTGCTGAGGGTGCATTACATTGTAAGTGCTTTGGAGATAAATGTATATATCCATGTCATGTTCATACCTCTTCTACTGTTACTTCTGATGATGGAGAAGCAATGGAAAGAAAATGGTAGTAAATAGGTTAAAACATGATTCAAGTTTGTGAATCACTAATGTAGAATGATAGAGGCATTGAGTAACTGCTTTCCATCATTCTGCAGTGCTTTGGAGCTTCCCTATTCTTTCTGCCCTGAGCAAGAGGGTCCCAAGAAAATAATATAATGGGCCAAACCATTAATAGATCCATATCAGACCCAGTGTTATCTATGAATATTGAGCATGAATCATTGTTTTAATGTTCTTTGCACATAAAATAAATGAATTTCCCTATACTTATAAAAGCTTTACTGTTTGGTTTTAGAAATATCCATAAGTATGGCTTTATTCTGGTGAGATGGGACTTGGCAGGGACTGAGGTGAACTTCTATGGTCTCATTTGTGTTGATCCACTTACTGTGATATATTGTAAGTGAAATGGTTTAATTGAAATTACTACAGATATTGCTATCAGACTGTCAATTTTCTATAGCAGCAGGGATTTATAGGACTTGGGTGCAAAATAAAATGTTAATGAAATGGGCATTTGAAAATTGCAATTATAGTATATCATATAATGTATAATTAAATAATTAAATTATTTTTATACAATGAAGAAGATAAATACAAGGTCTGGGACTTTAAAATGACAACTGAGAAAGCAATTGTGCTTCCATTTTATTAACAACATATAGTAAAGTGAATATAGTGCAAAACACTGGACAACTAATCTATTTATCTGCAAAACAGAAAATACGGAGATACTTCGAAATAGGGTGTGATTATCCATGATGTAGATTCTAGCATGCTCAAAGATTTGACATTCACAGAAGATCTCATGATTTTCATCTGATTGTTTTGTGACAAGGTATCACTCTAAGCTGATGTGAACTTGCTATGTAGATCAAAGTAGTGTCACACACATGGTGATCCTCCTGCCTCATCCTCCTCAGTACTGGAATTATAGGTGTGTGCAAACATGAAGGCTTCAAGAATATTTTCTTAACGTATTTTGATACTATGTGGTAGATTCTATGTATTGACCACATTCCAACTGTTTCTTCTGCAACTAGTGTGATCTAATTCTTCTGCTTCATGGTCCGATATGTCTGCAAGACAATTTGGCTCTACTGGAATGAAAGCATTATAAAAGCAAGACTTTTGTGTCTTGGTGTGGCTCTTGGACTTGAAAGAGTTCCAGGCTGTGGTTTCAGTATGTGTTCATACCATATCATTGGTTCTGTTTACAAACCCAACGCTGGTATGCTGGGAATCCAGAATATGTGTTTCAAGGTACATAAGTTTTATCTGATACATAAAAGTTATTCCAAAGGGAAGCAAGTTAAAGAAGTAGAAACTAGTACTTCTGGGCCAAATGTGCCCAGCTACGTTTACTGAAAACTTAATAGATGGTTTTGAGTGGGGAACATTAGCAAACTAAGGATGGATGTTAATTCGTAGTGACAGTTTTCAGCACACACTGTATTTTTTATGTTGCTCTCCATTCCTTTGAGTCTCCCTTCCTAACTTCTGTGAATAAGGAATGTGTTACTGTACTGTAGTGTTAATGAAAAATCTCTCCCAGGTAAACAGTATACATACCAAAGTTCCTTTGAGACATTTTTATTCTAAAGAAGATATTTTTATATCACATTTTGATATTAGAAAGTCTAGGTGAAGTAAAAAGCTGGACACATGCTAATAATAAACTATGGACTGTGTTTATCATTGCAGCTGCAGAGTGTTCTTGCCCTGCTTTTCAATCTCAGAATCTCTTGCTGCCTCTTGTAACTTTTAAACTTTATTTGAAGTTTCCATTAATATTTCATTTACTTTTCATATTGATAACTCTCAGTGTTTCATTAATTTCGAGTAATATTGACTGCAGATCTATTAGGCAATATGAAAAGCTCAGTATAACTAGAAAGAATCTCTTTTAGGGTATTGAGTGTGAAGAAGGTAGACACATGGCCAAATATTGAAAATTAATAAGCAAACCAATAATAAGAATCAATTACCTAGATAATGATGCTCCAAGATGCTGTGGCTTGCTATACAAAAATCCTAGTTTCCAAGTGTGAGATGATACACTAAAGACCCTCAAAGCAATATAAGCTCTTGCCATTCTTCTTGGTTTTCCATAAGAACTGGATAATAAAACACTATTACTAAAGACACTACATGTGTTGGTTGCAAGATATAGAGCAGTCAACCTTTAACTAAGCTGGAAGCTTACTCCTTGTACATAAAATTTTCATAGTACCAAGTGATTGCTATGCAGGCCATTGGGCAAGAAAAGATAGTCTCACCCATCTGTGAACCCTATCAACTGTAATACAAATGCACTAGTAAATATGTGCTCATTTGTGCAATGAGGACATTGCTATTATGAGGGTAACCAAGTGTTCTCTAGTTGTATTTGAGGTCCATTTCATAGGATCTTCCATGCCTGGCACTGTAATCTCAACTAAATATATATGACTGTGGGAATCCCTGGAGGGGTCTTATTACTGTTGTTCAGCTAAATTGACTTACAGTCAAACTGCCTTTTAAGCATCTGTGTTTATACCCATAGCCAAATGCTACAATAAGCCTTAATCAGAGGACTTTCTCTGAGAAGTAAACAGTGGTTAATACTAAAACTCATGGCTATACAAAAAGATGAAAATAAATGATGGTTGGGTGCCCAGCTCTAGAAAGTACATTTATATGTCCCCTCTAAAGCTCAGAGAACATTATAGAAGAGAGTGTAGAGAGAATCAAAAGCCAGAAGATAGAAGGGCTTCTAATTTCCATCTTCTGTATATGATGTAATCATTTCAATCATGAAGTCACAGCAGCTTAGGTTATCTGCACCTGGTCTGTCAACAGCCAGTCATGGATGGGGGAGGAGATCATGGTATCCTACCCTTCACTACTGAAATACTGGCTACCAATAGATTCTGGAAGAGAGTTAGTCTGTATCCTGGTAGATTCTGGAAAAAGAGCAGTGAATATCCTGATAGATTCCGGGAGAATGTGGTCAGTGTCATTAGTTGCATACCCACTGGTGAGCCCACCATGTTAAAATGACAATTCCAACTCATGATCACATAAATAATCCCAGTTAAATCAGGTGGGTCAGAAAACAAAACAAAAAGGCATGAACTTGAGATAGAGATTTGAAGAGAGTAGAAGATGACTAGAATGAGGGAAGGAGGAAAGACAGTAAGGTCTGAGAGTGAAAGGAATTCATTATGTACATACGTGAAACTGTCATTGAGCAAGCTTTAATAATAAAAGCATCAGAAAAAAAACAGAAGAGAATTTATTTCTTAAGAGATAACCAATGCCACTCTTACCTTGATTATAATACCTATATTGCAATGTATTCTTCATACAACTCAATTGGCACAAAAACCATTCTGGAAAGTAAATAATTACAAATGGGCTTTAAAGAAATTTCTAAGAAGACTCACTACAACTATTGCTGTCATCATTCATTTTAAAAGACACAGTGATATTTATGTAAAGAGACCTGCCACTCAACAAATGTCCATGACTGAGTCAAAATTTTCTCCTATCAATTGGGCATTAATTCTAATCAATTTTCTCACATGCTGTGCAGAATTTTTAAATATTTTTCTTCTCTAAGTGTTAAGGTTATATCCGATGTATATTGTTTATGACTATAACAATTTGTCAATATTCATCATCTAAATTTAAGTCAGATACTAAAATTTGTAATAAGGTCAATGATAAAATTTCTAAGTTATTTCAACTGTGAAAAATGGCCTTATTTTCACTTAACATCAAATCTATGTGATTACCTAAAGCAAATAAGAACTATTGGATATAAGTGATACATTGGTCTACTTAAGCATCCATAACAAAATATTACTGGCTGAGTATATTAGACAGCAAAAATGTACCAGATTACCATTTTGGATGCTGGAAATTGTAGGTTCAGTTTAAGATACATAGTCTGTTTCTGGCTGGCAAAAGGGCACCTTAGTATAGTCCTCTTATGGCCTTCTCTTTTAGCATGGAGAAAAAGACAGAAAATCATTTTCTTATTAAGATACCCATTCTATAGGGAACCATTGAATGGCTTCCTACAGGTCATTGCTAAATACAATCAGGGAATCAACAAATGACATTTAGGGAAGATGAAGTTCCATTCATAACAAGTCAATAGATGCTATTCCATCATTCTAATTACTATTCCACAGCAGGAAACACAAGACCTTGTTTCATGAAAACTATTTTACTATTCCAGCTAAGTTGATAAACTTCAATACATGTAGCTTTTATTAACTTTGTAAAATAAAGACTTAACATGCAATTTATAATAAAAATCTATCAAGCAGTTGATACACATGAAAATTATCTTGCTTTACATAAAGTAAGGTGATTAGCTTTGAGTGATGGGAGTTTAGTATCAAGCATCTGTTAAAATAATTAGTAACAAATAAAAATTCACACTCCATTTGTGTAGATTATTCTCTGAAGAGCAATCATCTTTCTAAAGTGTTATATAATAATTATCCTTACAATATAGATTGATAGAGAAATGCTATACAAAACCATAGTTTTTCAAAATACCAAAACATCTGAATGCAATAAATCTGAAAATTTATAATAAGTATTGGTTATTTTAACAATT